TTTGGTTTTCACGAGAGACTCAACTGAATCTCTTGTTTGTTTGGAAGGACTTTGATGGGAATACCTTAGCCATGCGTGTTACAGGTAACCGACCTTTTCTTGTCCTGATTGCAGTCAGCTCGTTCAGTCTTGTACTTCCCACGGATATTATATATAGAGTAAAGGTGAACCCACAGAAAACGAAGCGAACTTCACGAGGAGTTGCATAGGTGAGCGTGAACGGGGTAGCTGCGTAGATTCGAACTGTGGAAAAGGTGAAGAGTTCCAAAGTGTAGCTTCACACTTAACCGTCCCCGTATTGTAGGAATTATTTGCTCATCGTCTTCAAAAAAGATATTCTGCCAAGCTTCCCATGCTTGCAGAAGCCCGTTTTGTTCAGACTTCACCCGTCTCTATCCGTTTAGTTTGTCTCTCAGTTCGAATTGATCATAATCGGACAACCTCTATCACGACCGATGCATCCAACCCGACTGTCAATGGTTCATGGTCTTTCTTTTCTCAGGTCTGATTGCTTCTACCGTCTCCAAGCTAGATGACACATTGTTCGCTTCGAACGCCACAAACAGCTCAGGCAGTCCGTTAGTGCCACGGTTGGCTGTTCAGCTGATCGCAGCTCCTCTGGCTGGTATCGCTTCGGCAACTCTTGTCAATCCGATCGACTGTGTACGCGTCCGAATGCAGGTGAGTCCGTTGGCTGCGTGGCCTACGTTTTGGCGCCATTCCTCCTCCCCTTCTATGTATCTTTGTCACCATGTCATGGAATAGTTGTTTCAATAGGGGGACAATCAGGTAAACAAAAACACGGATGAAGATCCCAGTTATGCCTAAATTTGGCTGATCTGAGCCTCAGCGCTGCCCTATCCTCCTCGCCAAGCGTTCTACTCTACGAAAAACTGAAGTATTTTGAGCCTACAGGAGTACCTCGATTCTCTCACCATTTCCAAAGTCTGGATTAACTCAAGTCATCAGCTTGGTGGGCACTGCTGCGGTGGTCTTACATAACTTCTGTCAGGTCGCTTTTGCAGTACACCTACCCCCTCTCTCCCCCCACACACATTAAGCAAGGTGGATTCCGCCCCGGTAAGGGATGTATCGATAAGATATGCCCTCTGTGGTGAATGTTGGGACGTCCCTTTAGGTGGCAGCGCGTTTTATCGAACTGTGCGCCCAGTCCAGTAGATCTTGACGCCCTGTGCAGTACCACCCACTCTGTTACCAAATTCCGGGTGCTTATGCGTCCAAAGGAATCCGGCGACTTTGTTCCACACTCCAGTGCACAGTATCATTTGTCCACAGTCCTTTTCAACCGAATCGTTGACTGGATAAAGGAATGAGCCTTTGGAGTTTATCACAGAGTTTAGCGGAGCCATAACCTTTGACGTGGATACCTTGCCTGGAAAATTGCTTAGCTGTAACACCATTTCGGTGGCTAGCTGCCATAACACCCGAAGGAAGCACGAGGGCTGGGATACTGCCAGGTTGCCCAAGCCTAGACAGGGGAAGTCGAGTGGCGGAGGTCGGATTCGAACCACGAACCTTCCGGTCAGTAAATTCGCGCTCTAACCACTTGGTCCATCTCGCCCCGTGCCTGGACTATACTGATGACATTGTCGTTCTCTTCGAAGACAGCTTTAAAAGCCTCAGACCTTCACTGGAGCATATCAAGTACTACATTGCTATGAAAAATGAACGCCTTGTAAACCCGTACAACTTACATGTGTAGTGGGCTGCAATTTCTTGGCTGTTGTGCCCATCATGGTATAGCCTCAAGCCATGGTGGCCTTAGCCAGCCTTTACTAAGGATAAAGGGAATCGCTACTGTATCTATTGAAAGATTACAGAATCTCTGACAAGGTCAAGCTGGAATCTTCGTGATGCAATGAGAATCGCGGAACGGATCGCTCAGAGCATGCCCTCTTTTGGTCCGTAGCCGGTTCCCGGCACATACATCCAATCGATTTGATGTTTGGTTATTTCGAACCGCTTGCCTCAGGATGCAGTCAAGATGCAGAACCATTCGATCAGTGAGTTCGCGCCTTAGCCACCGAGGTATCGCAAACGCTTGATGTGACCCTCCACGAAGACATGACCGGTGTGATCATAAATGCCGGCAACATTTCATACTTGTTGATCGTCCATGATGATCATTATCTAGTTAAACAAACGGTCCGAATCTTCATACTTTTTCCGATGTGTTTAACAGCCATAGGGGACAAAACTCAACTTTCCTGTCATTTTTAAGACAAAATCACAGGTCGAATTCCAAAAACACGAAACAGGGATTTCGAGCCTAAGACGAGAGTAGGCCTGTTCAATCGTTCAGCTGTATCACCCTTTCGTTGCCTAGCTGCCGTGCCATCCGAAGGAAGCACGAGGGCTGGGGTACTTCCAGGTTGCCCAAGCCTAGACAGGGGAAGTAGAGAGGCAGAGGTCGGGTTCGAACCACGGTCAGTAAATTCGTGCCCTAACCACTTGAGCCATCTCGCCTGTTCAATTACAGGTCGGGGGTGGAAATCCCAACCCGACCAAAGGTCACAGCATCCCTCTTACACAACTATCTCAGCATTAGCTCATCCACACAGACAGACAGAGGGACCATCAAATAAACCGAACCAGAAGAACTAGACCCTAGGCTGGACCCAAACACATGTAGGTTTCCCCATCGACTCAACACTTGTTCAACCACTCTAACACACAAAGACCCTCGGCCGACACCCAACAGAGATTCATCTTGACTTAGCGAGATAGCGCAAGTGGTTAGAGCGCGAATTTACTGACCGGAAAGTCCGCGGTTCGAACCCGACCTCTACCTCTCGACTTCCCCTGTCTAGGCTTGGGCAGTCTGGCAGTATCCCAGCCCTCGTGCTTCCTTCGGGTGGCATGGAAGCTAGGCACCGAATGGGCGCTACAGCTGAACGATTATTATTTATTATTAGCTGATTGGTTCAACTTTCGCCTTAAATCTCGACCAACCTCGAAACCTAGTCACTCGGCCTGACGAGGCTTTTGTGTCAAAAGCGAACCGTTGCCCAGCAATAAATCTACCGATTGTCACCAAACGTTTTCGAAAACTAGAGTAGGTCTCTTATGCAGCCGGACTGTACATGGTCCACAGTTGGCATTTGTCAGTGTGTCCAAATATTAGTTACTCAGGTAGGTTAATTGGCTGTTGATCACGTGACAGTTGATCTGTTCACCGGGATCGGCTTGGAGTTACCATCGAAGGATCTCAGTAACTTTTGCATTGATTTCTTTGCTGATCTTCTAAACAAAATCATCCGGCTATCTCAAGAGCACTTTTAGAAAACTACGAATGCGAGTTGTTCTAGCTCGTTTTGATGTGCCGTGAAACTTCCAAGCCTGCGTGACGGCCTTCTGTGAGCGTTTGGCGCTACTATGACTGTGTCGGTTTCCTCAAGTTAGTTTCGACTTTTCGGGGTGAGACGTTGGTGGCCACCCTGTTCGGCCCACCCGCCAACTGAGTAACGTCCGAGGAGCAAAGGAAAACCAGTTCCACGCATGCTACGCATGTCACAATTACAGCTGTTAGAATATTTTGACGGGTATGTGAATTTGGAAGACTAGAGAAAGGTTTGATGGAACTGGACTGGCACTCCGGAGCAGAGTGGCGGCAATGAAAAAACATGCAGCTAGGGTGGAACCACTCTTCCCTCAATTAACATTAGATCCAGCGTCGTGGTTAGCATATCTTTAACACGACATATTGGGTTCTCTTGCTTCGGCTGTCTTCTCCAAATCTGTCTACTCATCATCTTGCTGTGTTCATCCTGTTTCCAGGTGTGTGTGTGTGTGTAGATCCAAATGTGAACTTTCAGCTGTCTGATTATGAAGCTATCGAGAGTAACACTAAAATGGTCACATAGTCAATATGTAACCATAGCATGATTCGCTCCAGGCCATTATCTAGAGTCGCTTCATCACGTGATCTGCTAGTACAGTGCATGGAACAGATATCAAGGCCAACAGCCTTACTGTGAAAAGCCAACAGTAACGGGCAATGCAGTTTACGGCGTTTAGAGAAGCAGATAGATAAAGCTTTCGACGTGTCTAGTTAGGTAAATGTCTAGTTAGGGTACTTTTTACTGACGGTGGCCGTAAATCTCCATAGACTGGATACTGAAAATTCACTAGACGATAGTCCGATTTAGTAATTGTTTAATCATGTAGGGGGGCGAAATGGCCCGATTGGTTAGAGCGTGAATTTACTGACCGAGAGGTCCGTGGTTCGAACCCGACCCCCGCCTCTCGACTTCCCCTGTCTAGGCTTGGGCAACCTGGCATTATCCCAGTCCCCGGGCTTTCTTGGGTAGCATGGCAGTTAGGCACCGAAAGGGTGCTACAGTTGAACGATTTTTTAAATTTTTACCTGTATAGAGTCTCGGGAAATGTGCGTAAGACTATATAATTTTCGGCCCTTTGGGGGTGTAATCAATACTTCTCAGGTAACACGAAGTGCTGTGATGGTAGCCGCACCTTTTCAAATGGTTGCCAATCAAAGTCGGCGTAGCTGGAAACGAATGTATCCTTTGTTGATCCTTGGTCCTATAAAGCGGACAGATACACAAACAAATCGCTGCGGGAGGGTTGGGTCGATATTAGCCTGAACAGATTTGTTAATTTTCAATTAAAAGTATGCTGAAAAGCCTAGAAGCTCAGAAGAAGAGTTAAACTTTCATCTGAGATGTCCTCACTCGGGGAGACAGTCAATACTGAGCTGGGCAATTTGATTGCAAACGTTTCATCACCAATCGAGGTGACATCATCAGTGCGTTATTGTGGAGCGTAGGAGTGCGTAGCGGTGGGTTGGTGGTTGTGCACAACCAATCAAATTGCCCAGCCCAGCGAACAAGCCAACGACCACCATCTACGCTATCTGAGCTACCAACATTTTCCTCTATAGAAGACAGCCAATACGTTATCACATGAAGTGGTTTCCGTAATGAAAGGGTGAGTGGCGCCATATTCTGAATGCTAGTCAATCACAAAGCTAATCAGTTGCTCGTGGCCGGATGGTTATGTGTTGTGACTCTGAGACGTGAGGTCGCGGTTTCGAAATTTTCTGGGAGGTTTCTTGAGAGTCCCAGTAAGGATGAAGCAGCTGTACAGTCCCTGTCGGCTTTTCAGCATAGGTTTACTTTACTTGGATGGTAAAATCTTAGTTGGACATTGCTTTTGTTCTTTACTCTGGTATTCTCCACCCCCATACTCACTGTGACACAGATCTACGTAATTGCGCATGCGAGAAACTGGATTTAGTCGTTCACACAAGGTTAATATCCAAGAGGTGGAAAGTCTGGGCGTCAGATAAGACACGCATGGCCAAACCTGTCCTTGTAGAGGGTCACGAAAGAGATTACGAAACGCTTGGGTGCTGTCGGTGCTACTCGCCTTGCAGGATGAAGACCGCGTGATCCTCACTGTGCCTGGTTGGAGACACTACAAGATATGGCTGCCAACCGATGTCAGTGGTGTGCTTGTTGGCAGTTTCTATCTAGATTGCCTGAATGAGTGTCTTGACGTGTAGGCATCTCGGAATGATTGTAATAGGCTAGCGCTAAGTCCATTCCTCCGTCCACCTTTATTCTTTTCTTCACAATTAGGCTTCCAAATAAATCACGGTTATACGGCAGCGAAGCATTAGTGTTGAACACTGATGTCAT